AGGGAGGCAGCTCCCACACCTGGACCCTACCTATTGACCCATCAACTCATGAACCGGGGACCAACGGCTTTACTCCCCACACAATTCCTCCTATATTACCCGAAGGAAGGCGTGATCAGAGTTGTTATGTTACTTTCACTACACTATCCCCCCGCTTATCCGCTACTCGACAATCCGACGACTCGAAAATCTGGAACCTGTTAATCCGGAAAATGCCGGATTAAAAAATATTAACACGTATTGTATTTGAATACAATGTGCTGTCAGTTTTCAGATTAATGCTGTAAACATGCTGTCTCTTTGCTTTGATTTTTAGTATGAACTAAACTAACTAGTCAAAACCTGATAATCTGCCCATGATTTTGTCGAACGATACTGAATAATAAAGTCAAATCAAAAAAAAAGTATCGATGAAATGTTCCATAAACTGTGTAAGCCTCAAATTTTCTGATATGCCCTTGATTTTTTAAGAGGAGCGCAGCAACAGGAAAGCGTCTTCTTTAAGCTTCTTTTTTTTTCTTTTATTAGAGAAATTATAAATTTTATTATCAGTCTTAAGCTTAAGTCTTTTATAAGATTATTTTAGAAGTTCATAGAAGACGCTTGCCCGTCGCTATGCTCCGCTAACTATAAAAAAAAAACACGAGCACAACTGTAAATTTGAGGGCTACACACAGTGGAACATTTATTCAATTCTCTTGGTAGTATAGACATTTTCCCATACCTGAATCTCTCAAAACTATTGCTTCACTGTAATTTTAAGATCCCAGATCCAAAGCTTAGTAGAATGTTGCGGTAGTGATTTTTTTTTTACTCTCCACAATTTTGGTTTTTTTACATTACAAATATGGGACTATTTGGTAAATTGTATATTGTATAAAACTGAAATTTTATACTGTCGATGGATTCATTATTCTTTTAAAGATAAGATTTTAGTTATTTTTGTAGCCACTGTTAAAAAGGACATGAGTAGTTCTTAGAAGTTTTGTTGTTCTAGTAATATTATGCACAGTAAACGCAGCTTGTCATAAAATAAAGACCAATCAAAATTTATTTTAAAAATAAGAGATTTTCCCTTCTTTCAAACAAGAGCAGTTCTTTGGAGTTTTGTTGCCCTAATTATGTTTGGCACAGTAAATTCAGCGTGCCATAAAATTTAGATAAACAAGAAAATACGAGATTCTTCCTTCTTCTAAACAAGCGAAATTCTTTGGCGCTGTTCATATTACGTGGACATCATAGGGGGAGGGGCGGGGTGGTGATTGGCAAGTGCCCAGTCATTTTGTTAACAGATTTTATGGGCTTTCGGCCAAACGACCCATTCGGTCAAATGGCATTCGGCCAATTTACCCGGAACCCTTTTTAATAATAAATAGGTGACCATTTATATGATGACTTAGCAACCCAAGTAACAATTTTGGTTTTATGAGGGTTCTATAGATCATGATTTAGACTTTTAGAATGCTATAAAACCTCGATAAAACCTGCAATGTTACTTGGAAATTGAAATACGGTTTGAAACTGAAATGCAACTTAAAATAACATTCCTTAAAATCCTCTAATTTCATCGAATCTTATAACGGAATCGCTTGTGAAGAGCATTTGCAGTGATTTGAATAATTTACTTTTGCTTACGTTATACATGATGGCCAGTAAATAGCTATTTCCGGATTTTCCCAGATTTTTTTTTAATTTAACTGGTTGTATTGTATACAATTCAATGAATGTATAAACCAATTAAACCACTTGCTTCAATAGGGTTAAATAGATCAATTAAGAATAGAATTTATTAAGAATGATCTCAAGAGCTTTTTTAGAATCATTCCGCTCCTCTTGAACTTGCCTCTAAACTAGGACTAGGACTAGGATCATCCTGAACCACTAGGCGTGTATTCGTTTCAAGTTTTTTAACCGCATCCGGATTTTCTGCAATGTTGCAAATCAAAACGAAAGCGTTTACTAAACTAGATGTCGAAAATGACATGCTTTTTCAACCACAGTTCAAAAAATTGAAACGTTAGCTGGCAGTGTTCTGGCGCAGGTATCTCTTACGTTTAATTTACAAATTCAATAGTGGTTTTCACATAGCGCATCGCAAACATATATAGGGTAGGTGTTCCAGTAATAGTGGTGTACCTATAGTTGCGGTATGGAGGTTGTACCGGAAAGTGAGGAGGATCCGGATAACATTATTTTTCATCGGTAGCTCTCATAAAATAAAGCATATTTGCATATTTCAAACTTAAAATATGCCCAAAAGTGACGCAAAATAATTATTTTCCTTAAGATTTTCACTCCTTTGCACCTATAGTTGCGGTAGTGTTCCTATAATAGTGGAACCCATAAGAAACTAACGCATTCCACTATTATAGGAACCAAAGTTAGCAACTACCACAATTACTGGAACAGTGTTCCTTTTAATGGAGGATGAGTTTTCTAAAATTGTATGCAATTTTATTACAGTGTAATATTTTTCTATCAAAATAGAGATTAAAAGCTATAGATTGACGTATAACAATTGTGTGTACATCGTATATTTATTTTTTTTTATTGCTAAAATGGCTTTGTACCTCCACTACTGGTTCACCCACCATACTGTTGAAAAAGCCTAAATTTCATTATAAGTCAAGGACTAAGCAATTTTTGAAAAGGGGGGCATTAATCAAAAAAAGGTTAAAACCCACTATATTACACGTACTGTCACAAATTCAAGGACGCCCTCCCCCTCAAGAGTGGACGTTATATTTGAATCTCCCCCAAGTCGATAAGTCATACGATCTGATCTTTTTTTTTTCGGCAATGTTGCACCATAAAATATTTGCTAGTTCATTACTCCAGCCAGACACAACACCTGTTTGTTCGACTCGTCTGGCTCAAGTTCATCAAACTCCGCCAGTAAACCGCGCCACCAAATTCGCCAACACTGTCGACAGCAGCTACACCCAAACTGAATTTAATATGATTTGAAAATATCGATTACGCGTTTCTGAATGGCAAACATAGCGAAATCAAAAACTCAACGAGCCGTTTGATCGATTCCAAACCTCCAGGCCTGTTGCATACCGTCACTATCGGCTCCGTAATAGACCCGTGGAATTCAATAAATGTGCGCTTTTTTCTCCGTCCATGCCGTGAGTGGTGCTACACACGGAGGAAGTTTATCTACTTACTTACTCGCTTAGATTGACCGATTACGGCCAAAGGAATGCCGACAACTACACTGCGCACGATTCGGAACCAACTGTAGCTATTTCGAGGTTAAGCACCACCAATAAAGCACTTTCCGGTTTTCCCCCCAGTATCCGGAAGCCTCACGCTCAAAGCATATGACAAACTGTCACTATCCGGCTCTCTGGAGTTGGCCCCGCGTTTCTCAATACCGGTTTTGAACTTGTGCGAAAAACGTGATTGACATTGGTACTGCTGAACCGCTCGCAGTGACCGATAAGGGACGGCCGTTGCTTTTACGACCCCGGCCCAATAAATTCATCAATCAACTCACTTTCCTTTCTAATGTGAGAAGCCTCACTCAAGCGAGTTCAAAAAATGAATGCTTTTCTACTGGCTTTCCCTCATCATCCCGGGGTATCATCATTACAGCAGCTGCAATTTCCAATACCCGGAATTCCTTTTCTAGCGATCTATTGCGAACAAATCCGTTTTTGAATAATTCATTAGAATCGCGGTTGGAAGGTGCTGCCGAGCGCGTCCGATGAGCAACTGCCTACCTATAAGCTTTGGTGTTCCATCAGCAGGGCAGTGGAAGTTGTTTGCTGAACAAGAGGGCGGGGAGGGCGGCGGAGGTCGTGTGGGAAGCTAAGGTAATCGATCGTCGTCATTCGTTTAATTTAAGCTTCAAGTCGCCGTAATCGTGCGCAAGCTCAGGTGAACAAATGTGTCGTAATATTGTTACCGCGTGCAGTGTGAAACCCACATCGGATTGTAGGTTTGAACATGTAAGTGCTAGTTTTATCGCGTCGGGTAATTAGAATTGCTCGTGTGCTTTGTAGCTAACGATACGTGGTTCTAAGTGAGATGCACAGCTTAAGTCAATAAATATGCAGTCTATCTATGATATTTTTGATTTCCAATTTTAGATTTTTTTTTCCTAGCTCGTAATGCATGATCATCGAAAACTCTAGACACTGTGTCTCCGCGTCAATCACTTGACCCACAGCGGTCATCGACGACGACGACGACGGCAAGACACACTTCTTGGGTCCAATCCAACGCAGTAATAATTGCTCGTACATTTTTGGCGCAACCAACACAGATCGAACTGACCCAATCGATAAGTAGCCGTCAAGTGTGTCAACTGTCCACACATTGGACATGGTATTTTTTTTTCTTTTCTTTCTTGTTTCTGTCGATTTCTCTTCTTGTGCACATTCACGCAACTGTTTTATTTATTTTGCCAATTCTCACTTGCCTCTTGCGTTCAAAACACAATTCCTCCTATATTAAAAAAATATTTTCGCTGCAGCGTGGTAACAACACACTTCTTCTAAACCCGGTGAAAAGCAAAAAGAAATGTTTCCACCAACAACCGGTCAACAACAGTTCAGTTGAATAGGTGAGAGGTGTCTGTTTGTTTTGTCATTGACAAATTTGGAACGTATGCCATTTTGATGGAACATCGAAAGCAATAACTTGACTGGCAAACTATTTACTTCATTTAGGTTAAGTTTACTCTAATAATATTTTAAGTTGTTTTTCTTTCTGTGTGTTTGTTCCCTACTAATTTCTGCGCTTGTTTGTCTCTTCCTTTTTTTATTTTTCGCTCTCGAAACGCACGCACACATCCTGAAACAACATGCAAATCGCTATTGTTATGTCATTTGCTACGCTGCGGTCAACCATCAATCGGAATTTGGTTCCAAAAACAACCACACAAATTGGCAATCATTCATCATCGTCATCAACATCAACTTCACATCGGGGTGGAACAATCGTCTCGTTTGTGCTACTCGACTGCTTGCCTTTGTGTGTGTGCTTTGCAGACGATTTTTCGGATACAGCCTCGAGCATTCTGAGCAGGATGAGACGGCCAAGCGATACCGACTACAGCAAGTCGCACTTGCCAGGTGAGTTTGATTCTATGGTTTTCAGTTTCATTTTTATAAGTTTTCAGATAAATTCAATCACACAGCACAATTTTTGGGGATAATTTTTGAAACCGTCTCTTATGTTGGTAATGAACTTTTCTATTTTGTATCTGGAGGGGGTAGCAGCGAATAATAGAACATTGATAATGAAAACTTTGTTAAATTATATCACCTTCATTGATAGCTGTAATGGCATGATTGATATGGATGAACTGAAATTTAATTTTGAAGTCGAGGTTTAAATAATTATGTGAATATTTTTTACCAAGCAAACAAATGACAAATAAACGTACTTTTACAAATAAAAAAGAAAAAAAAAATGTACTATAGAAAGTTTTCATGTTTTCTATAAAAAAAAAAAGTCACCCCAGTATTAAAAGGTGTCCACGATGAAATTTCCACACTATGAAATTGCTCTAACTTTTTAACCGTTGGGTAGAATTTAATGAAAATTTGGGTGGATTTAGTTCATAGTGCATTATTTACATCCTGCCAGTTTTAAAGTCCTGTGATCAAAACTCGCGGAAAAAGAGTCGAAAGAACAGCTCGTGCGTGATAAAATCTTGCGTATTCATCACGAGAACAAGGATCACTCGCATCGTTCCATCGCTAAAACGTTGGGAATCGCGAATTCCACGGTGTCGCGAGTGATTAAGCGGTTCGAGGAACGGTTGACCACCGATCGGAAGCCCAGAAGTGAAGGAAAAAGTATTCCGTACAACACCAAAAATCACAACCGCGTAGTTGGGGTCTTCAACCGAAATCCGAACGCCTTCGTTAGGGATGTGGCTAAGAAGCTGCGCCTAAGCCGAAGTTTTGTCCAGAAGGCCAAAACTAAGGCTGGGCTTCGAACGTTCAAGGTACAAAAGGCCCCTAATCGCGACGAGAAGCAGAACAAGTCCGCCAAAACCCGTGCCAGGAAGTTGTACCTCAACATGCTGACGAAAGTTGAATGCTGCATCATGGACGACGAAACATATGTGAAGGCCGACTTCAAACAGATCCCCGGCAACCTGTTTTTCACGGCCAAGGATAAGTTCAGCGTTCCGGAGCATGTCCGCACTCAGAAGATGTCCAAATTTGCGAAGAAATTCCTGGTTTGGCAAGCCATCTGCACGTGCGGGAAGCGGAGTGCACCTTTCGTGACCCAGGACACGATGAACGGACAGGTGTACATAAAAGAGTGCCTCCAGAAGCGGCTGCTTCCTCTCCTGAAGGCCCACAACGTCCCAACAATCTTCTGGCCGGATTTGGCCTCATGCCACTACTCCAAGGACGTGCTGAAGTGGTATGCGGACAATAAGGTCAATTTCGTGCCGAAAATGTTCAACCCTCCCAACACTCCGGAGCTCCGCCCCATCGAGAAGTACTGGGCGATTATGAAGCAGCACCTTCTTAAACGACCTAAGGTAGTGAAGACAGTCGAGGAACTGAAGAAAGTATGGGTTTACATGCAAAAAACGGTTGATTCACAGGTTGTGCAGAATCTTATGGCCGGGGTTAAGGCCAAGGTGCGGGCATTTGCGTATGGACTGTAAATAAAATACGAGTAAAATGGTAAAATGAAGTTTAATAGTTATTTCTCAATCCCTGAAAATTTGATGGCAATCGGATGAAAACTCGAATTTTGCGAATCAATTTTGTGTGTGGCAATTTCATCGTGGACACCCTTCATTCTCGGCTTTTTTCTCTATCGAACGCACACATATGCAGTATTGGTATGTTTAAAATCTTTTGCTGCCAGCTGCTCTAACAATTTCAGTCGAAAGAATTGTCAAAAACTGTTTTGAAACGCTTTTACAAAGCTCCAATCTTCTCTAGTGAGAGTGAGTATTGTCGGCAACCAGTTTTTCTTTGGCAACCGTTCCATTTGAACTGCATGTAAATCTGCTGTTCTATTATCGGCAACTCGAAATCAGCTACAATTTGTAGGGCGTGTGTTGCATTTCAAGAAAACCTTGCTAGATTGCTTTTGCTCAGTGGTAAAAATATAGTCAAATTGAAGCTGAAAGCATAAAGAAGCGTTTGCATGCATTCAACGAAGTGTTTTCGTAAGAAAATCCAGTGAAAATAGAGTTTCAATTTGGGTTGCCGAAAACAGTCTGGCATGCCGAAGCCGTCATTTCCCCTATGTGAATATTTTTTACCAAGCAAACAAATGACAAATAAACGTACTTTTACAAAAAAAAAAGAAAAAAAAATGTACTCTAGAAAGCTTTCATGTTTTCTATAAAAAAAAGTCACCCCAGTATTTTGGCCAACTAGTCACTATTATGGATCAGTCAATTCTGCGTGTTAATAAAATGGAAGTGGCCCATAAATGTGGGTTACAAATAATACTGGGGTGATTGTATCTTGCGTTACTATCGTATAACAGCGGTCTGGACCGATTTTTTAAATTCTAGTACAGCTAATTAGTAAGGCAAAAATATTTTTGAATATAAAAACCAATAAATGAATCATACAATATTGGAATACGTTCCATCCAAATGATACAAAAAACATCGGAGAAAATCCTTAAAAAAATGTGAATGATCCATAAAACATATCAATATGATCCATATTTTATGTAAAATTTTGCAACTTAATTGTAAAAATGTACCGCTAAATTTCTAAAGAATGATTAAATGCTCATATTGTACGAATTTCCCATAAACATATTGCAATTGATCCATAACACAATTAGTAGTGAACCTTAAACTAAAGAAAGTGATCCAAAGAAAATCAAGTTTGCGCACTTAAAAATATAGCCATGTTCGAATTAATGAAAGCAACTTCCTCAGAGCAGTCTCGTTTTGGACAGCCTGAAGCTGAGAAATAGGTTTTAGGATCAAATTTTAGTATCTTGATTAAGCAAATACAATATTTTCACGAATTCCACCTCCAACTAATCTATTTCAGTAGCTAGTTCACTACAAATCACCACAATTTAATTAAACGATAGGTATAAAGGGTGTCCACGATGAAATTGCCACACTATGAAATTGCTCTAACTTTTTAACCGTTGGGTAGAATTTAATGAAAATTTGGGTGGATTTAGTTCATAGTGCATTATTTACATCCTGCAAGTTTTAAAGTCCTGTGATGGCGGAAATGGAGTCGAAAGAACAGCTCGTGCGTGATAAAATCTTGCGCATTCATCACGAGAACAAGGATCTCTCGCATCGTTCCATCGCTAAAACGTTGGGAATCGCGAATTCCACGGTGTCGCGAGTGATTAAGCGGTTCGAGGAACGGTTGACCACCAATCGGAAGCCCAGAATTGAAGGAAAAAGTATTCCGTACAACACCAAAAATCACAACCGCGTAGTTGGGGCCTTCAACCGAAATCCGAACGCCTCCGTTAGGGATGTGGCTAAGAAGCTGCACCTAAGCCGAAGTTTTGTCCAGAAGGCCAAAACTAAGGCTGGGCTTCGAACGTTCAAGGTACAAAAGGCCCATAATCGCGACGAGAAGCAGAACAAGTCGGCCAAAACCCGTGCCAGGAAGTTGTACCTCAACATGCTGACGAAAGTTGAATGCTGCATCATGGACGACGAAACATATGTGAAGGCCGACTTCAAACAAATCCCCGGCAACCTGTTTTTCACGGCCAAGGATAAGTTCAGCGTTCCGGAGCATGTCCGCACTCAGAAGATGTCCAAATTTGCGAAGAAATTCCTGGTTTGGCAAGCCATCTGCACGTGCGGGAAGCGGAGTGCACCTTTCGTGACCCAGGACACGATGAACGGACAGGTGTACATAAAAGAGTGCCTCCAAAAGCGGCTGCTTCCTCTCCTGAAGGCCCACAACGTCCCAACAATCTTCTGGCCGGATTTGGCCTCATGCCACTACTCCAAGGACGTGCTGAAGTGGTATGCGGACAATAAGGTCAATTTCGTGCCGAAAATGTTCAACCCTCCCAACACTCCGGAGCTCCGCCCCATCGAGAAGTACTGGGCGATTATGAAGCAGCACCTTCTTAAACGACCTAAGGTAGTGAAGACAGTCGAGGAACTGAAGAAAGTATGGGTTTACATGCAAAAAACGGTTGATTCACAGGTTGTGCAGAATCTTATGGCCGGGGTTAAGGCCAAGGTGCGGGCATTTGCGTATGGACTGTAAATAAAATACGAGTAAAATTGTAAAATGAAGTTTAATAGTTATTTCTCAATCCCTGAAAATTTGATGGCAATCGGATGAAAACTCGAATTTTGCGAATCAATTTTGTGTGTGGCAATTTCATTGTGGACACCCTTTAGTAACAAATTTAGGCAATTAACTTAATTTAGCTGTAAAAAGTGTTCCGTTGAACCATACCTGACGTCTGTCATTTCCGACAGCGTCCGTTATCGTAGCTCTCCGAATCTCCCACAGAGCTGTCGCTGAACTCGGCGTTACAGGGTTATCCCGATATTCCGAACAGTCATGATCCATAAATTAGACGTATATTATTCACGTTTTGGACACTATGTTTATTATTAATTTTGATCCATAAACCATGAAACATTGCTCCATTACTGGGTAACTACTTAGATTTACTGTCCTGTCGTGTTTTTTTAGTTAGAGGTGCAGATCGATGGTCAAACATCTAGAATTAGCTTCCAAATGAAGCTTCTATAATAATCTTCTTAAGAAAATATGAAAAATAAATGTTGATTTTATGGATCATACCTAGGGTAGGTGTTCCAGTTATTGGTAGATGTTCCTTTTATGGTGTGTTCCAATTATAGTCTATGGGATATACATTTTTGGACCCTTTTTTTTAAATTTGATCCATAAACCTTGGAAAATTGCTACATAACTGCGAAGCTACTCAACTTTACTGTTTTGCCTGCGTTTTTTTTTTGTTAGAATAGCGGAACGATGAGCGAGCGTCTAGAATAAGCTTCTTAAAGAAGTTTCTAAATGAAGCTTCCATAGGAAGCTTCCATGGGAAGCTTCTTAAGAATATTATTATAGAATCTTCTTTTGGAAGCTAATTCTTGACGCTTGCCCGT